TCTAGTATTTTTAGACCTGCAAAAGAAATACTGAGAGTTGACGAATCTCGCTCGAGCGCAAGAATGGTCGCTCGAGCGGAGGAGCCAAAATCTGGGCAACAAAGGTTTGGAAAAACAAATAACCAACTTATCCCAAACGCATAACTACAACCCGATAACCCAAATAAAGGGGAGACAAGGGAAACAAGACATGAATAACCATTCTAAACCATACCAACCCCAAGTCCGAAATACGATAGATAACGAGTTAAAGCCGGAACCGCTATAGTTTTAGCCCCTTATTTCTATTGAAATATGTTTAATCAGGTTTGAGGTCGCAGGTAGTTTCTTGATTACTGGTTCAAGAAATTAATACGGTTCGGGTTCGGGTCATGACATGGAGCTTGGATGTTGACCTTGCAAACGACGTGCAAGTGTTCACCGGACAAACAATTTATGATGTTGACCATGCAGAAAGGCAAGCTAAGTTCTTGACTGGGTTGGAAGGTCATGCTAAGTCTTTGACCGGTATGTTTAGTTTGATGAAGGTTTGCTGAGCAAGGTTAGCATGGTGTAATATTTTGCTTTGGCATTCCCACTCGGAGTTAATAAGCTTCAACCTATGCGGTTGCGCAATTGACATGCAACTGGGCTAGTGGTTTGTTTAGCTCGGTTGTCGACTTGGGAGTTAGGCCATTTTACTAGGACTTTGGTGATAAGAGTGTTAAAGGATAGGCCTTATCCTTTAAGAGATGGACTCTTGATAGGACTTTACGAATAGAAATTAGAGTCCTAGGATTCTACTGTGCAAAACATATAAAAACTCATAGATAACCTAGAACAAGATATAGACACCCTATTTTGATCGGCTCTAAGACTTGGGCGCTCCCTTTTGAGTTCCTGATGATGAAAAGGTAAAGTATTAATCTTCGGGAGTTCCACAACAATAGTTCTAAGGATCAAGGTTTAAACCCTCCAACGACCTAATTTGGACAAAATGTGTTTTGACCAAAATGAATCTCTTTCAAAACGAGTTTTAGTGGTACAACTCTAGACATTACCGCAATGTTTTGAGGCTCATATTTTTAAAATCATAACATAGTATTCTTTCAAACAAATCGAGCAAAGAATATAGTGGAAGTGAATGGAAATGATGAAATTCTCTAAAATACCTATTTCTTCCTTCAATTCAGGCTAACCTGCTCTTGATGATTTGACGATGTGCCTACTGACTAGCCAGACACCAAATGATAGCCGGCCATAAAAGCACTCGGCCGATCATCAGGAAACTCGACCGGCTGAATGTTCTGAGTACAAAGCATTTTCGGGAATTTCAAGTTTGGCCTACCTACCACATATATCTCAGGTATTTATGACCTAAGCTCTATATATAGAGCCCGACAGCTCATTTCAAAGGTTGAAACTTTTGCCCAAGGCTCCTAAGAGCTTCTTGACTCATTCTCCTCTCAACCACACTTCCTACCTACTACCCTTTTGACTTTGGACACCAACACTTCATGGAAGCTTGATCCTAAGGACCTTGCTCAAACTCTTGGACATTAAACAAATCTATCCAAAGTGAATTGAGGGAATTAACAAGGGAGTTTGTGAATCAAAGTGACCTATCCTCTTAGGAGGTGATTTTCTCATACTCTAAATCACTTTTCTATCTCATTTTCTTCAATTTTAAGTTGTGTTTTCATTATGTGATTGTTGTAAGTCCTCATGGATGTGAAGAGAGTAACCTTAGTTAAACATCCATTGAGTTGATAGTTATTTGCTTTGTTTCCTTACTTTTCATATTTTCAACTATCTACCTCTTGTATATTTTGGATCCTTGTGGATGTGCTTGGAAGTAATTTTAGCCATCCATTTACAAGTTCAATAAGTAGAATAACTCTTCTCCCTATTACACCACTTATCTTCATCTATCCTCTCTCTCAAGTATGTCAATCTTTGTGTTTCAACTCTTGATTCAATGACAATGAGTGTTAAGGGTTATTTCATGAGGTTGCTTAAGTGATCCATAGGATTTGGTGTTGGCAAATGTTGTTCTCTCTTTTCATTGAGTATTTTGGAAGTAAAACAAGAGATTTTTGGTCAAAGGAAGTTAAAACTCCATTCTCAATCATTTGTGAATATGGAAAGGGGTGTTATCATCCTTGTTCTATGACTAGATGAGGAGTTTTCAATGAGTTTGATGAATCCCTATTTAAATAAGCAAAGCTTCTACCAAGAAATGATTTGCATTAATCTATGCTCTCCACTTAATAGCATGGATTTGGATATTAGCTTGCCCTCATTCACAAAGAGAAGATGTAGGTTCCTATCTATTTCTTGGGTTCGAATTTGTATTGATTTTGATCCATTTAATTTGTTTCTTTTAGCAAATTATCTATTGTACACATTTGTTTATGTTGTTGTTGAGGGTTTTGGCCTATCCATCTCTTCTATCCCCGTCAACAGAGGAGGTAGAAGGTGTGAGAACCATCCAGCAAGCCTCCCATTGGCCACTGTCCTGAGATCCTGCACTGATATAATCCCTAATCAAAAAGGGAATTTGCATGGTTCATTTCTACTTCGGCCGGCTCATCTAGTGTCTGGTCAGTCATTGCCCCCAAGAACAAAATAGACATTTTTTGGAGAATGCTCCCCTGAGCAATGCTGGAGCTCCTGGATTGTATCTTTTCCTTATTTAGTATGATTTGTTAGATTTAGCAGTAGCTGGGCTAAATCGATTAATTATTGTAATAATTTCTTTCTCCCCCTTTTCTTATTCGAATTGTTGTAATAATCTTTTAACCCCACGTCTTTCTAATCATTTTATTTATCCGCTTTCAATATTGCATAATGTTTTCTTTATCATGCTTGTATATTGCATCCACTTTTCCATCCATTTGGATTCTGATCATCCGCCTTAATATGATGTGTTATCTTCAAAGATGAATATGTGCATAAATCCATGAATTATGGTGGTACTCATGTTACTTCTTAGCAATCTAGACTCTTACAGACATGATATGTATGTATTACATTAGGAACTAGCACATAGGATTATACATATATTTACATATCCATATATATCTTGTTGGTTCGCCTTAGAGTGCTAGGTGAGCATTTACAACTTTAGCATCCCGGTTGTGTATACTATTTTACCATGTTTGGCATCTTACTATCCAGCTATGTACTTAAATGATATACCTTCTTCAATGCCAGTGGATGAACGTTGTGTTGCTTAAGTTGAAATGATGTTGGCTGATATGTATGTGGGCTTAGTTTTCTTTAAGTTGTACATTTATTCAAAAACTTTTCAAAATGCATAAAATCAAAGCATACCAAAATAAGTGGCATAATCTATAAATTGCTTGACTAACATAGTAATTTCAGCATTATTAATAACCAGAACATGAGCATATATTGTTTATAAAACTCATATCATGGCTAAGTATAAGCCAATCTTTTGATCGGGTAAGCGGAGGTGCTCAATTCATGACCTTTCCTCCTTATACCTAAGGTTCTGAACCGAGACATCTTTAGTTATAACAAACAGTGGCTTTTGGCACGAATCACAGGTTTTCTAATTTGCCCAAAAGATTAGGTGGCGACTTTGAGATTTAGTGATGTAGTTCATTTCTGGCGTATTTTGCAATAAATGGATTTTCTATAAAAAAAAAAATTTCCGGATTAAGACTCTCATTTTATGTTTCACATTGCACTAGTGAAACTAAATCAGGAGTTTGAGAGTTTGAACTGTTGGGCGCTCTTAATAACCCCAAAAGCATCCCACACAAGGTAACGCAACTTTACTTATAGAGTTTTCCCTATATTGATCTTAAGAGTTTTAACTTAAGTATTGGAGGGCATCCGAGTTATGTTTTCAAGTCATATTACGCCATTCGTAAGAGAGCAAGTTTGATCACAAGGAATATACCTGCGAGGTATATTTCTATCTTGTACAATAACTCAAAACCAAATTTGTTATTATGTTATATGTTCGTATTTTTTTAAATATTTTTTCTTTTGTTCACAAAGTGAAATACATTGATCTAAGATAATCATTCTTTTTTGGGTAAATTAGAATAAACCCCCCTCATCTATGACTGGTTTTTAACTTGCACCCTTAAACTATTTTACCCAACGGGTACACCTCTTAAACTATTAACCCGCAACACTTAACACCTTTCCGTCTCCTCTCCGTCAATAAATTAACAGAAAATAAGGCATGTAAACATCATGTGCCAATTTATATCATATTTTTGTACATTTCACCCTTTTATATTGAATAAATTTACTATCTTTTACTAGACAGCAGCTGGGTCTCTTCCTAAGACCCCAACGATACATGAATCCATCCAACAATCATCTTACACTGCTATGGCACTATTGTGTGCAGCATATTTTCTGCTATAGGAAACAGAAGTTGTGAAAGAGTGATGTGGTATGGGTTGTTATAGGTGATGATACGTGTTCAGTTTGGTGGGTGAGTTTAACGGTGTACCAGCCAAGGCAGAGGATGTGGTGGGAGGGGAAGAGCAGGTAGTGATGGTGGCTGGTGGTTGGGGAGGTGGCGCATGGGGAACTGGGTGGTGGTGGTGGATGAGAGCAGACATAGTTGGTATGTGAATAATCTTAGAAATGAACGAGTGATGGGATTGGGAAGGGTTGACATAGGGATTGGGAACTTTTTTAATATTATAATTTGAGGGTAAAATAATATATTGATATTTTTTGTTAACTGTGTCAAGTGTATTTGTAATTTATATACTTGAAGGGGGTTAAGTGCCACATTTTAAACATTAGGGGGCAACTAAAAAATGGGTTATACTTGAGTGGGGTTTAGTGTAATTTACCCTTCTTTTTTTAATATGTTTGAATTTGAGCAACTCCACCCTGACTAGAATTCTTTGAATTAAACTTGGACTCACGTTTGACACTCTACTTTTGGTTAAATTTGGACAATTCCTTATCCTAGCTGAACACATCCAAATTATAGCCTTAGCAAAAATTTGTAATCAAATTGATGTTGATCAGTTTTAAATTGAGGGCTGATAAAATTTACAGTAAATCAAGAGGGACACTTTTCGCAAATTAAAGAACATACATAACAAAGGACCAAATGGCCAATAAAAACATGAAAAACAACAAAAACAAAAACACAAAAACACAAAAAATAAAAATAACTGGTCTAGATACAGCACAAAATCACATCTAATTAGTCACTCCCATTGGTCTAATATATATGGCGATCATATTCGAACATAGAAATTTCTTTAGTGTGGCAGCGATTCCCCTAGACGAAAGAGAGGGAATGTTTTTAAGTGTCGGTAAAAATTCAAATGGTTATGAGTTGCCCAAATCCATGCGGTTCAATGACACCTAATTGTCCAGTTAGCCCCTCAATAGTTGAGGTCTTGAATTCAAGTCCATCGGTGTTTGGATCCAAATCCCAACCCAACCCTCTAACCAAAAACAACTGTGAAAGTATATCAGATTCTTCCCTCTCCTCTTTCTTTTATGCCAGTTTTCCTTGACAACGTATAATTATCAGTCATTTTCAAGTGCTAATTTAGCTCCCACTAAAAGTTTCTGGATTTTCTATTTCGCTTTGGTTGGGATGAGGACCTAACTGGGATGATCTTGTAGTTTGAGGCAATTGACTCGGGTGCATCATAACTTGGGGGTCCTGGTGCGGGTCTGACCCAGAATGCCATCGTCTTCTCCATCTATAAAATTCAACAAGAATAGAACTCCCGCTCATAGCAATGCCTAGCCCTGCGAATGTTGCAAGGAGGATCGATAGGATTGCTTGCACGTGAATCTGTAAAATTCAGTAAATGGGGAATTCCAAACATGAGAAACAAATCATGTTGTATTGATTGTACTTAAAACATGGAGAAATGTTTAAGCTACTCAATAGTACTCAAGAAAATTGTTAGCTAAAATTAGTGTAGTGCAATAAAATTACTTATAAATGAGTGCTAAAAAAATAAACAGACTTTTTTTTTTTTACTGGTAAGTATCTTTGTGGTATCACATCATTACGAGTAGAGTAGAGAAACTCTTACCAAGGAGTAGAAAATATGCGCGAAGAGAACCACAAATGCGAATTGGATTGATGCATAAACCCAGACAAATCTTCTCTGCACTGTACATCGAAAGTTGGGAGGCCTTGAATCAGTGAACTCAACCAATATTATAGAAAGACATGATTTAATCAATTATAGGTAAACTACCAATAGATCCTAATAGTTGGACTTAATTCCCATTAAATTTAGTTTTAGTAAAGTCATCGCTAAAAATAATTTTGTAATGGTTTTTTACACATGTCGCTAAAAATTGACAATTAGTGACTTTTTTTGGTCATTTTTTTATAAATTATTGCTAAAACTTACAATTACTGGTGTTTTTCCATAACGAATTTTTTAAATTGTCGCTAAAAGCTAAAAATTAGTAACATTTTTTCTTGATATCTTTTTATACTGCCACTAAAACTTATAATTAGTGACTTTTTTGTGACAGGTTTTTCAAATTGTCACTGAAAATTAACAATTAATGACGTTTTTTTAATAGTATTTAATGAAAAATACTGTCAATTATCACATGACCTATTGGATAATAAGTCTACCTATTAGATAATAAGTCTACCTATTAAGATTTACACATAAGTTCCCCAATCATTATTTGAATATAAACAAGAAAGTTGACAGCAACTTAGGAATTTAAATTTATTCAATCAGTTTTTGCTGCACTTCTTTGGCACAAGCAAAACATCATATGTTTCATATTTTATGACGCAGATCAACCATGAAATATTACTGCTATGACCCTCTTCAGGTGATGGGTGGTTCTGACCTTAACGTTGTGTTTGGATTATGGATTTAGAAAAGGAAACGGAAACCAAAATGGAAAAAAATTTAGGTTATATTTCATTCACATTGTTCTTATCTTTTTATTTCCCTTTCTAAATCCCTATTTAAATTCATAATCCAAACACAGCTTAAATAAGCAATTGCCTAGTTGTATATTCCAAAGTATACTAGATACTTTTCTAGATAGTATTTCTGCATCCTATAACAGAATTAACTGTCTAAATAAGATTTTTTGGGAACTTAAGTCAGCTTACCCATAGTTGATGAGGTCAAGGATGCAAGGACACCCAATACACAAGAAAATGGAAGAGATATGGCAACCGCGCTAGTACCCATTTTTCCAACCTACATGAAAACAAAAATATTACTGAGAAAATTATTGGTGCATTTTGAGCGGGGAAAAAGGATTTTAAGCTTACCAGAAGCTGCTCAAGAAAACAAAAGTAGGCAAGCATGCTGACAATGACGAGAACAGGCACTTCCTGCCAAACCCTGATAAAAGAACACAATGCAGATGTCAAGGAGAATAGACGTTAAATTTAATGTGTAACGAGATATCTAGATCTTGATGGTATAATATGACAAACAAATGCAGATATAATTTGGCACAAAACTACTTGAATTCCATGTCTTTTTTATCTGATCATTGTTTTTTTTTTTTTTTATTTGTCAGCAGACCCATTTGAGTTGCTTTGGTTTGGTTCCTTTTCCCTTTTTTATTTCTATACAAAGTGAAACTTGGAGATCAAAGTTTTAAGTGTAATATACCAAATCATTCACTTGCCTGTATCCATTAATTTCCATCTGCGGGGTTCTATTTACTCCAGTACTTGGATTTCGAACACTTCGAATCCGTAAAAGTGTGACTGGTAAGTTTTGAACCTCTTGCCTGCACACATCACAGATCTTGTTACCTTTGATGCTAAACCATTTCACAGCACATTCTTGGTGAGCCAATGCAAGTTCGCCTTTACAACTGCACTCCATCTTGAGGGTCTCACCACCTTCACATAACTCGACCAAACAAATTCTACAAACAGCCTCTTCTTCAGGTATATCCTCAGGATCTGCTTCATTGTTTTCTGCACACGATCTTAGCATTAGAATTGACAGTCATCTCATTTCAAGCACAAACAGAGAAATTCTATATATATGCGTGCGCACACAACGGCATCTAAAAAAATTCAAATAACTAATTCTCCACTTGATTGGACTACAACAAATGTTTGCGGTTGGAATGACAGTGACTGAGGTTTCTGGAATTTTTTCATTTTCCTCCATACTCTCAGCAATTATGCAGAAGAACAACTTGTTTAAAATATTCTAATTTTGAAAAGACATAAGAACACACTAGAAAAGATTAAAGCATATGAAAAACTATAATATTAATCAACAAATTAATGTCCGAATTATCCTTCAATGTTCAAACATGACTACTGTAGATACTAAAGACAACAGAGTTACCGGCATCTCCTGTTGGACTTGTATTTGACACAGTTGTATCTCCTTCCTTCACTCGAGGATTTGGAATTATGCGGAAAAATGAATCCATTCTCTTAATTCTTCTCTCTTTGTTGACTACAGGGACTGAAAGTGAGCGAGATATTGAACGCTGGGCTCCTTTTGTCTACAAATAAGACCACAACAGATGCTAAGATATTTGTATGATATGAACCTCATGTGGAGATTCAAAAGCTACTCAGAGAGACTGGAAAATGAATTGATAATCCGAGAAATTGTCCTAAAGAAAGTCTAAATCTATTTAAATTAAATATAGATGAACTACAGGTTCTATTGGGTATTCTCAACTTCGTGTCATCCTCAAAATGTCATACAAGCTTATCAAGATAAGCTAACATAAAGCTCTTACAATGCTTATGTATTTAAGAACTGCAAGCACAATATTCATGTAACAAATCATATACTGGATACATACAATACTCTAGACAGTTTAAGTTAACTGTCCTAGTTAGCAATATGTGGACACATGGACTGAGTTGCGCCCAATGGCACCTTGACACGTGGCTTAGTTGACATTCAATAACATCCCGACACGTGGATATTGTTATACTCAATAAGAGTGTGATACATGGACTGATCTCACCTTTACATCTATCACCCACGCCTGGATAACAAACCACTTGGATTGAACACAATCAAATGATTATTTTTTCTCTACCTCATGCAAAATTGAATCTGCAAAATTTGTAAAAAACTTACATCTGCAATAACTAAACCACCAAGATTTCCTCCACAAACAGATTCTGCATTTGAATGTCCAATTGGGGTAACTGGTAGAGATGATGTTCTCTTGATACGAGGAGTAAACATTTTTGTAAGTGACCATGATCTTGAAATAGAAGGCTTCTCTTGCTGCATTGGAGACACAGCTTCTACAGCTAGATTGGCAGCCGTCTCTGCATCTGACTGAGAACTCCGGTGCTTGAAGCTCAGTTTTGGTAGGAGGTTTTTTATGGATGACTTACTTCTGCATGAGGAGAGGCCTGGGGACCCACTTATTCTAGCATCAGAAGGGCTTGGCGTGAGGAAGAAATTTACCTTCTTAGTAGCGGGAGTTGGTGTTGGAGGCATCTTGATTTGAACAACCCCCTGAGGAGAGTCCACTATTGTTTTTGAGGGTATGTCCAGGGATAGGTTTTGTCTCCTCAAATGCTTAAAATGTGGTGTTTCTTCAGTTATTGCAAAGGAATCTTCTTCTACCTGAAAGAGGACCAGAAAACATCATTGAATTGTGCAAACTAGGCATTCAACCTGTGTTATGTATCTGTAAATTCTTAGATTTTCTACTAGAATTGACAACTTAGCATACCTATTTCAAATGATTAACTATGTTTGCTCATCTGGAAGCCAGAATTCTAGCATTTTGTTTCAAGAATACAAAAATGCGTAGTAAAAGATAAACCAGGCACGTGCCAAACAAAGCACCAAAAACCAATTCCAAAATGAGAACCATTTAGAAGAGGAATAGAACAGTGGTTGCGGCCAATAGCAGTTCAAGATTTTTGAGATCTTAGGCTAAACATCAAAATTAGGCCATATTTTATTTGGTCTTTGAAAATTTGGGCCCTTCAACAATAAGATTTGTTTATTTATTTATTTTAAATTTGCAGGCTTTAAGTGATGGGCTAAGTGGCCTAATGGTTGAGTGGCAATCAAGAACTATTGATAACACATGCAAACACGCACACACAAACACAAGTTTATGGAAGTGCAGTAATAAGATTTCTGGCCATCTTTTCATTTATTGTTCCTTAGCTTAAGCTTTTTGCAAGAGGCCTTTTTCTCCAGCAGGATCAATGTGGGTGGCTCATAGAGAAGTTGATTCCTTGCTTGGAATACTTTCAATGATGCCGTAAACGAAAGATGCAAAGTCAAGCAAAATGTGGGAAGAGGAATTGCGGGGTACAGATGTGCAACTATTACAATCTCCTTGAGCTTCTCTGACTAAGGAATTTGAAGGGTTTTGAGTTTCATTTTGAATAAGTGGAAATTGGTTGCTTCTCCCATATGCTCCAATAGCTCCCAACAGATAATGTTAACTTTAGTTTGATTTAAGGACCTTTATGGTAGCGTTTTCTTTTTGTCTTCTACACCAGATGGGAAAGGGTTTTGCTCCAAAAGCAAACAATATAGCTCTCTTGGAAGGCCTTCTAAGTCATTGTGTGTTCAGTGAGATAGTGACGTTGGTTGTCAGTTTAAGAAATTTTATACGTATTTTCTTCGCTAGAAGGAAAGGTTTCTTGAATACAAGTCTGGTTAATAAGAAGACAAATCCTTCTGCAAAACATGGGTCTTCAACCTAGGAGAGGTTGAGTGGTCAATTCTGCACTTCCTTGGGATTATATGGGTTAATGGGATAAAGTTTGTAGAGTTTATAAACCAGAACTTGTACATATACAACTTTCATTTCATGAAATGATAAAATAACTAGTTGATTCTGCTGAACATACCCACACATCTCAAAATTTGGTTTAAAGGTCAACTCAATTACTCAATAGTAAGACACAATATTTATATGATAAGTACTAAAATTTCCAGACTGTATCAATAGTGAAAATCCACCTGTTGATGCAGATATGGATCAGCACAATAATGCATGCCTAATCATTCAGCACTACCAACAAGTAGGCCATAAGTGAAATCTTTTCAAGCCTCAAACCAGATAATGTTTGAATCTATCCCAAGACTTCCATCAAACTACTAATTCCCAAAATATTCCTCAATATTACAAATAATTGTTGAGCATTTCTGACCTCCCTCTCCGGCCACCGCATTATTCTGGATAATTATGCAGGCAAATTACACTTTCAACCCCATGTTGTTTTGCCTATGGTTGACCTTTGTCATTTGATTTGAGAATAAGCACCTAACACTATGGTTAGCGGATCAAAGTGCAGAGTCACATTCTTTAAAAATTTCCGAATTGCAAATTAATTCAGACAGCAGATCCAACTGATCCCAGAGATTTACCAAATCCTTTTTACTAAAGCTATGTTTGAATCTAGGATTTTTGAATGAAAAGGAAAAGTGAAAATAATCTATTGATCTTTGGTGTGAAACTAAGCTCTCTGAAGTGAAAAAGTGAATAACCACACAACATCTAGTCCAATTTTTTTTTTTTTTTTTTTTTGAAAAGTAAACATAGGCATTAAATAATAATAAAAGCAGATGTGTTCAGTTCAAACTACAAAGCGCAAGGCATATTAGTGATATTATTGAAAATTACCAAAGCAAATAAAGTAATAAATGCAAATTAAATAGAGAAGAACAAAACAGAAACAAGGAACAACAGAAAATGTCCAGACAAAGACATAACGACAACAAAATTTTAAATTAAAAATCCAAAAATTCAGGACTGACCCATCAAAGATTTCCATTTTAATAGCCAAATTGCATAAAAGGACTGAACCCAATTTCAAAAAAAGAAAAAAAAAAAAGAAGCTAAATAAACAACATAGAATTACCTTCTGAATTGGAATGACAACAAAATGTAGGAAGCAAAAATTTTAAAATTAAAAATCCGAAAATTCAGCGCAGACCCATCAAAGATTTCCATTCAAATAACCAAACTGAACCAAATTTCCCCACCAAAAAAAAAAAAACCAATGAAATCACCTTGTGAATTGGAATGACAACTTCATTTTGAGATGCACAATGATCTTGGACCTCAATGGAGGAGTTTGTTTCTTCTTCCGTTTTCATCATCATCATCTCGTCTCATAACAGTATCAGCTGAACCCAGAAAATGTCGATCGAGATCGAGAAAGAGAAGTAAATAGTAGTAATGGGAATGGGAATGATTTTTTTGAGAAGGATGAAGGGGTTAATGACGTTGTATGGTGGTGGGGTTACAGTTAGTGTTAGTGTTAGAGTTACAGTTGCTAACTTGCATTTATGGCAAAAGAAGGTGGAGTGGAGGAAAGAGGTGGCCTGGACTCTGGCCTACCTCCCACTCCACTCCCACTCCAAAAGTGTGGACTCGTCACCACTGTCTTATCACACAAGGGAAGATATCTCCACCCTGTTTGGTTTAGCTTTCACAATTCTTTATAAATAAAAATAATCAAAAAAATTCAGTTGGTTTGGTTTTGATTTTCAAAAAATTTATTTTTTGTATTTTTTTTATTTTTAATGATTTTTTAAAATAAAAATGCTTTATACTCCCACTGGGGTCGACCCCCAGTGAGGTGGAGGCCCGTGATTGGGCGAAAAAAAACTTTTTTTTTTTTGGTTGTCAGCGAGTGAGGGCACGCCACCTCACTGGGGTGTGACCCCCACTGGGGTATTTAGAAGGACTCTTTTTTAAAATTTTTAAGTATTTTATTTTTATTTTTAGACATACTTAACATAAATATATTTAAAAAGTATAATATTTATGAAAAAAAATCTTTAAAAAAATTTCTAAATACCAAAAATATAAAAATTCAGTATATTTTTCGTATTTTTGTATATTTATTAATTTTTAAAAATATTTTTTCACAAATATTTTACTATTTAAATACATCTAAGTAAGGTGCATCTAAGAAAGTAAAAAAATTGCTTAAAATTTTTAAAAAATATTCACTAAAAATAAAAAAACACGAAAAATAAAAATTTAATTTTCAGAAAACTGAAACCAAATACACGGACTATTTTTAAAGGTAATGAAGTTGAAAAAAATTTATGATGTGCACCCTTTTACTATATGTATTTTATCATAAAAATATATAAATTTTTTCATAAATTTTTATAATATTAGCCATAAAATATGTAGTTTTGTTATAAATTAACATAATAAAATGTCTAAAATTTTATAATAGATGTGGTTTGATTACGACATTTTTGTTATGTTAATTTGTGACGGTATTATATATTTTGTGATTGATGTTATAAAATTTTATCTATTTTATGATAGGATACATATAGTATGCACTCATTTACAGGTGCACACCATAGCATTTCTCGCCGGTCCTATTTCCATCATTTGAGTCCTTCATTTTTTAGTACACTTTTGTATGGATTTTTTTTAATGTACTCACTTTTATAGTAATGTAAAATCTTTTCAAATATCTTTAATGTGTTCTCAGAGTACACATTAATAAAATCCTTTTAATAAAAATATAGTGTACATTTTAAAAAAAAAATAAATGTGATAAAATTATGTATATACATATATTGAATAGACCTAATTTTTTTCTTTTTTGTGGGTGATCTACAAAAATTGACTTAAAAAATGAACAACTTAGATAATTGAAGTGAGTTCCAAAATAGACCCAAATGACATTGTCCAATCCAATAACTGGCCATTCCCTTTTAAAAAAATGTGTCCAAATGTTTGATATATAGTTTCCACTTAGTCTACGAGATAAAAATAATTTAAATAAATTAAATAATTAATTATTTATAAATTGAGAAAAACGTGTTTTTAAATTTTAATTTTCAATTCTGAGTTTGAGAAAAGTTACAAACCCTTATAAGGTAACTCACAGTTTTTTTTTTTTTTTTTTTGTAAAAATGTGCATGAGGTTTAATGCAACTTTTGCATACAACTTGTGAGATGAAAATATATTAAATAAGTTGGGAAAAAAAGCATTTATTAAAAATTTGAAAAATTATGCTTTTAGAATTTTTAATTATTATTTTTCACTTTATAGAATTAATTGCACCAAACAATGCATTTTTAAATAAAAAAGGCTAGATCCAAAAAATAAAAAAAATTTATTAAAAATTTTGCACAATATTTACATGAGTGTAAGTCCGTATGGTGTGTATAAATTTTTATTTATTTATTTTTGGCATTGTTCACGATTTAAAAGAATTTATCTATAAGGGCTAATTGAAATCTTTTAATTTATGAAAAAAATAATTATTTTTATAATAAAATGTATTATTTATTAATCCGATTAAAAAATGCAATTGCTGAAAATAATCAACAATTTAGAGGGAGAGAGAATATCTAATACGTTAATATGTTACTGCTATTTGTTTTTAGCCTTTGTTGTGCTGTGAAATGTCCAAAAGACCCGTTTATTTTCAGAAGTAGAATGGAATGAATTGTTAGTGAGGGAATTAATAGTGAGGAATTATTAAATTATTTTTATATAAAATAATAAAATAAATAAAAAAATATAAAAAATTAAGTATTAATATTTAAAAAAAATTCTCAATATATAAAAAATAAAAAAATTTCTAATTCTCTCACTATTTTTCTAATACCATCTATACTTCCTCCTTCCCAATCTTCTTTCCAAGGCCTTTACTAATACCAAGAGATTAGAAATTTCCTCCCCATCTCTCAAAACAAACACCCCATATAATAATATTACCTCACTATTAATTCCAATCTCAATCCTCTTCCTAAAACTTCAAATAAACGAAGCTAAGTAAGTTAATGCATTATAGTAACAAATTAAATAATTTTAATTTGGATATTCGAAACTTTAATTATTATAATATTACTTTGGAAAAAGTTATCAGGCGCCACTAGACAGGTGGTCGTTGGGACAATAATGGTATCATCATCAATAAATCGAGGAAAACTTGAGTTGAAAGGTGAAATCATGTAACACATGATATGAATCCAAAAAAACAAAAAAAGAGTTCGATGCTCTCCAGTCCCTCATTCCAGCTCTTTTTCAGGGACGGTTAAGATTGGGTCACGTTACACCATTAAAAATTAATAATGCTTAAGATTATTAAAAATGGTGTTCTAAAAGTATCACTAGTGATGTGGCAGAAGACGGGGTTCACTGCTTGTGTCTTGTTTTTTTTTTTTTTTTTTTTGATTAAAATGCTTGCCAACTCATTAGCTGGTGCCTTTAAAGCACCACTTTTAGTGGAATGTATTATCCCATTAAAAATTTATGATTCAAATTAGCTAAAGAAAAAAAAAAAAAATTCTCTTCTTTCTCTGACACTCTCTCTCTCTCCCCTCCCTCCCACTACACAAGCACACCACTCACATACTCTCTCTCTCTCTCTCTCATTTTTAAAAAAATTAAAAAACTTTTTTAATTTTTTTATTTTATTTTCATAATATAATATAATATAATTTTTATAGATATTTTAATTTTATAAAATTAATATCATTGAAAATATACTTTTAAAATGAGACAAATATTAAATATATTTATAAAAAATTAAAAAATAATAAAAAGTCATTATTTTCATATTTGATTTGTACCTATTTACAGATTGGATTTGTGTGTTCTTATGCAAAATTGAATTTATGTTTTAAAGAAAATAAAAAACATATTTGATTTGCACTTATGCACATATTGAATTTGTGTGTTTTTTTACTTCTTAACAACATTAAAACTCGTTTGGTTAATAAAATTAATTAAAAGTCATTATTTTCATATGATTTTTTTTTTGGAATGAAAATTATTTGTGAGATATTTTTCAAAAATATATGATTTTTGTGTGTTTATTTCATCAAATTAATTTTTATATTTAAAAAATAATAATTTGAAAACATAACTAAGCATAGTAATTACTTTTTATTTATTTTAATTTTTTATTAAATATATTTAATATTAGTCTCATTTTAAAGGTATATTTTCAATAATATTAAATATATAAAATTAAAATTTTATATTAAAAATTATATATATTATGAAAATAAAATGTGACTCTGTTTGGTAGAGCTTTTGAAGTTTAATTTTACTCCTTAGTTTGAGTGTGTTGTTTGGTTACAACTCTAGAAAATTAATTCCACACCCACTTTTCAAAACACTCACTTTTCAATATTATATGACACATCACTCAATTCAAACTCTTTTTAAAACTCATAACCAAATAAATTTTTCACACTCAAATCATAATTCTAAAACTCACAAATTCAAAATACAACTCTATTCTCAAATCAAAATTCTAAAACTCTATCAATCGCAACCTAAAATAGTTTTTTTAATTTTTTAGTAGAAATGTACGTAAGAGAGAGAGAGACTGTGCGAGAGTGTGTGAGTGGTGTACGTGTGTCAGTGAGGTAGAGGGACAAGGAGAGAGAGAGAGAGAGAGAGTGAGTGTGAGTGAGAGAAAAAGAGAATTTTGTTTTTCTTCTTATTATTATTTTTTAACTAATCTGAGTCACAGATTTTCAGTGAAAATATACCTTTAAAATGAGATTAATATTAAATATATTTAATTGTGTGAGTGATTTTCCGACCACACTGCCCGCCTAGTAATCAGTTGGAGAGCACTGGCAGAATAGATGGCTTTAGCTAACCTGTAACAGAAAGAAAAGGCTCCGGCAGTGGTTCGTCCACCCGGGGGCACTCCGACGATCAAGTCAGTATATCTCTCAAAGATAATCAAGTACTAAACTTAATGCTCAAAACATAAATTGCGTACCTTAGACCCACGGGGTGCCTCCCTTTTATAATTTACTTAATCCTAGTCCCACTAGAAGCTTGACTTCTATGGATTCCAATTCAATACTTACTTTGGACTCTTCAAGAGATAAAGATAAACTCCCTAAGAGTCTTATCCTTATCTTGGCTAAGTCTTCTTTACTCTAGGACTTTTGTCCCTTATCCACTTATCTCGGATTCCGATATCTTCGGAGATAACCTCGGCCTCGCCAAGATAACATCGGCATAACTACCACGACACGTGACACCTCGGCTGACACGTCGGCATCACCATGCCACGTGTTGGTACTCAGAAAATATATCCCCACAACTGCCCCCTAGGTTCTATTACCTTGGTATCCTGAGGTGATGGAACCTATATCAATATTTCTTTCTTCATATTGGCTCAAAAAACTGTTTTAGCCGAGATCATTTATTTCAGACCAACGTGTTCTCTTCGGAGAACAAGAACTCAAACAAAATCCCCCACGCGCATGAGCTGTTATGCATCTTTTCTCAACCGTTCCCCTTACGTGTTCTATCTTATTGGGTCGTGTTTGTGACGCGCCTACAAATCACGTCTTTTCTGCGCATGCCGCCTGACGTATGCGCTGCTCCAGGCGCATTGATTACCTTTTGCCGCCGTTTTTGGCTTTTGACAAAACCTTTCATTTCCTTCTTCGTTTCTTTACTTTTGCATTTGCTGTTTCTCTCTCTAAAACTCGTTCTTTCGATTCCGCCATTGCTGAAGCCTGCAAGCTCTGTATTTGTCTTCCTGGTGGAACTTTCATCATTATGTCACATCTGTAACTTCCGTCGACTTCGGAAGCCCTCACATCGGCTTCATTTTTTCTGGTAAGCAACTGTTCCTTCTGATTCCCAATTTCTTCTATGTGCTTTCGTTTACTTACTGCCATTATTGCTCTGTTCAAACCTTTGATTTGCTGAACTATTCATCTGGATGCGTCTATTCCATGATTTCACTCATATTTTGAACACTTGCATTGTTTCAACACTTTTCTTGCCACTGTTCTTGACCTTTTACTTTTATATTTCTTTCGCTTCTGAGAACCATACCTCTTTTCTTTGATTCTGAAACGTCGTTCTTTGTTTCTTGTTTTTCAGATTTCTGCCTTTAAATTTTGCTTTCAATATTTGCCTTCATAGATTTAGGTTTGGGTTTTGTCTATAGAACCTTCAATTTTTAGGGAAAACTGAAACAATCCTTACCAGCATATACCTAGGGTTTCGCCGAGGTCCCGATAACCCCTTAAGAGCACCTTCTTTCTGAAACCCAGCCCTCTGTCTTTAGGCCGACGTTATGGGTATGTGGAGACATAGGGTAGATACCCCGACCAAACTTGAGTACTTTAGGCAAGAGTTCTCTATTCCTGCCGATGTCCATCTGAGGCTGGCTGAAGATAACGACTCCATCATGCCCATAGATGAATCAATGCCCTTTCCCATAGTAGCTTTTACTGAGTGCGGACTTCGGCTCCCACTTAACATTCTCTTTCGCGAAATTCTTCACTTTTACAAGTTGAACCCTATCAATGGCATCATAGTTTTAGCTAGGCAGGAGAATGCTAGGATCACCCTTGCCGACATCCAGTACTGTTATACCATGTGCCCCCTTAACCTAAAGGAAAAAGGCTTCGTCTATTATCTTAAGCCAAGGTCCACTGAATTCAAAATCATAGCCGACCTCCCAGACTCCAACAAGGGGGCTGGAGATGACTATGTTATTGCTTCGAAAAATTGGGAGTTTGGCGCAGACGATGACGCCCATCTCTACCCTCTTCCCCGATCGGTTAAAGAGGGCAAGGGTAAGAGCCCAGTGTCAATACTTAGTTGTTTCTGTTCAAGTTTTCAATATGTTATCTGTTTCTAATGTCTGTTTCTTCTTGCAGACGTTCGTAAGCCACCAAAAGACTTTCGCCAATCCTATGTTCCCAGCAAAGACTTAAAGAGGCTCCTAGATCTGCCAATCCAAAAGCGCAAGGCTCCACTGGTACTGAATTTTATTCCGATGTACAAGTCTACACTGCCCGACGTCCCAAAAAGAAAGAAGAAGAGCTTATCTCCTCCCTCTGCTACCACTTTACAAACCGCATCAATATCTCGGGTTGACCAAGGGTCAACCTCTGATCTAGCCGATCAACCATCAACTTCAGCTCCATACTTGGTCCCAATATCCGAAAGAAAACGTCGGCGAAGACTTGTCAAAATTGCTGAGATGGATCGCCCGAAGCCTGTTGCCCAAGATCTCCTAGCCGACCTCCCAGTTGATGCTGATGCTAAACCAACCCAATCCATGCCACCACCAAAGCCAAAAAGAACCAAAAAGGCTCAGCCAAAGGCCAAAGCCACTGTAGTTGAGACTGAAGATGCTCTGCCAATTTCACAATTGGCTGGGAGTAAGAAGACTGTTTCTATTCCCATAAAAAGGTCGGTTGAAACACAGCCAGCAGAATCTTCAAAGTCAAAGAAAGCGAGGTCGTCCTCTGCAACGGCTTCGGGGTCCAAAAAACCCGACGTCCTCTGGGCCCCAAAGATTACTTTGGAGAACAGGCCAATCATGTCTAGTGAAAGCGCCGATGACATTAATGTCGGCGTCGCTCTCAGCACCACTCTTCTCCTTCTAGGGGACCTGGTGCGAAATGTTGAGTACAGTGAGTATGAGAACTACGCTTTAATGCTCCAGCACTCTGTTCAAGTAAGTGCTCCTGCTTTGAACTTTTGACTTTCTTTCTGTTTCATACTTAAAATATGTTCCAACACTTCTGTTTTCTTTCAGGCCATTCAGCATGCCCATTCGTTTTCAATGCAATCTTTTAAGAATCGGGAAAGAATGACCGAGATGAAGAAGGAGTTTTCTGCCCTACAGAAGACCAACAAAGGTCTTCAATTAAAAATGAAGAAGCTGGAAGAGCAGGCCGAGGCTGCAACTAAGGCCCAACAGATAGCCGAGGAAAAAGCTGAATCAGCCGAGGCTATAAGGAAGGTTGCTGAAGCCGAGAAGATAGAGGCCGAGGACAGAAAGGCCCAAGCCGAAAAGGAACTGCAGGAGGCCCTGACCACCAAGGATGTCGAAATTAAGGAGGCCGATGAAAAGGCATACGCCCAGGGTATGGCTAACGTTACTGAAGAATACAAACTTCAGGTCAGGCAGGCAGGCATGCAACAGGGGCTTCTCCCTTGGGTGGATGTCCCTGATAAAGAAACTTGATCTTCTTGCTGATTCACCATTCCGCAATGCCGATGCTATCCCTCTTCCCTTCCCACCACCTCCACCTCCACCTCCATCTCCAAGTCAACCTGAGGAAGCTTCTGAATCTGAGGATGAAGATGGAGGTGAGGACGAGGATGGGGTTGAAATTTTGGTAAGGAAACCTAAGGATGCTGCTGGGACCAAATCCCTTCCTTCAAGTTCGCAAATCATGGACTTAACTCAAGATGATGTAGGTGAAGGGGTTGCCAAGGAAACCACTCCAGAGCACGCTTCGTCTGACGTTCCTCAAATTGACAAGAGTATAGATGAAACTCTTGCCGAGATTGATGCAGAACTTGCAATGGAGAAGGCGGTTGAAGTAGCTCTTCAAGAATCTGCAGAGGTCCAAACCAAAGTTGCTCCTGAGGCTGAGGAACCACAACTTTGATGTCTCTCTTTTCTTGTCTTTTGTACTTTTTTTTTTTTTATTTCCTGGACAATATAAGCTTCTTTACATGGCCGATGTTCCTCATGTTTTTGTTGAATGCTTTAATCTTCAATTTCTCTTGATTGCTTCTGCATGGTTTCTATACTTAGAATATTTTGCATGCTTTACATACTTCTTCCTTCCTTGTGCAATCTTCTCGGGGTTACATACCTCGGGTATAATAACTACAAAACTTTTACTTCGACAAGATACTGACCTGCAAGCTTTTCATAAATTTTAACAAGTATGAAACATATACTACTCGATGTTTAACTTTTGCAAACTTTTTCTCAAGTTTCAACAAGTATTTAAACAGTGATCTCGGTCTAACCTACTTGTAAATTGTTACAAATTTCAACAACTGTTAACATATACTATAAATTTTTCTCAAGTTATAACAATGATCTACTTGTAAATTGCTACAAATTTCAACAAGTGTTTAAACAATATACTTAGCTTTTACTTCAACCTGCAAATTGTTGCAAATTTCAACAGATGATCACATGTCAGCTTAACATTATCTTGCAAATTTCAACAAGTGTTAAGCATCTTCCTTGGTTGGACCAACCTATAGATTGCTATAAGTGTGCAAACTATAACCTCGGTCTTCACTTCGACTTGTAAATTGCTACAAATTTCAACAAGTGAAGATAAGGAATCAGCTTAACTCCAACTTTTAAATTGCTACAAATTTCAACAAGTGGAGATAAGGAATCAGCTTAACTCCAACTTGTAAATTGCTACAAATTTCAACAAATGGATTAAGGAATAATCTCGGCTTAACTTCGACTTGTAAATTGTTACAAATTTCAACAAGTGAAGATAAGGAATCAATTTAACTCCAACTTGTAAATTGCTACAAATTTCAACAAGTGGAGATAAGGAATCAGCTTAACTCCAACTTGTAAATTGCTACAAATTTCAACAAGTAAAGAGAAACAGTAATCTCGGCTTAACTTTAACTTGTAAATTGCTACAAATTTCAACAAGTGAAGAGAAACAGTAATCTCGGCTTAACTTTAACTTGTAAATTGCTACAAATTTCAACAAGTGAAGAGAAACAGTAATCTCGGCTTAACTTTAACTTGTAAATTGCTACAAATTTCAACAAGTGAAGAGAAACAGTAATCTCGGCTTAACTTTAACTTGTAAATTGCTACAAATTTCAACAAGTGAAGAGAAACAGTAATCTCGGCTTAACTTTAACTTGTAAATTGCTACAAATTTCAACAAGTGAAGAGAAACAGTAATCTCGGCTTAACTTTAACTTGTAAATTGCTACAAATTTCAACAAGTGAAGAGAAACAGTAATCTCGGCTTAACTTTAACTTGTAAATTGCTACAAATTTCAACAAGTGAAGAGAAACAGTAATCTCGGCTTAACTTTAACTTGTAAATTGCTACAAATTTCAACAAGTGAAGAGAAACAGTAATCTCGGCTTAACTTTAACTTGTAAATTGCTACAAATTTCAACAAGTGAAGAGAAACAGTAATCTCGGCTTAACTTTAACTTGTAAATTGCTACAAATTTCAACAAGTGAAGAGAAACAGTAATCTCGGCTTAACTTTAACTTGTAAATTGCTACAAATTTCAACAAGTGAATTAAGTGTCTTTGTCTTCTCTCTGCCTCCAATGTGAACCTGAGTTCTACTTGGGTTCTCATTATTCATGTCTCCAAAAACACCAATATGTAACTTTATCAATCATATGTGTTTTAAAGAAAAGGGAAAAGATTTTATTGATGACATCGGCCAAAAATACTACACATCTAATGATAGAAGAATTTCAAATTACAAGTGTTCCAAGGTCTTGGCAGTGCTTTGCCCTC